GTTGTGGCACATGGGTTCCAGGGTGCATGGGCTCTGTAGTTGTGGTGCTCAGGCTCCAGAGCATGTGGACTCTGTAGTTTGAGGCAAGTGGGGTCTCTCGTTGAGGCACCCCAGCTCAGTAGTTGTGGCGGGCAGGCTTAGTTGCCCCACAGCATGTGGGGTCTTAGATCCCTGACCAGGGATCAAACCTGCGTCCCCTGAATTGGAAGGCGGATTCTTTACCACTGGACCACCAGGGAAGTCCCATCATCCAAAGAATTCCTAACTCGTAAATTTCCCATTAAAGCAACCCAACTATTAAATGTTTGTAGAGCCTTAAAAAATAATTGCTTGCTGTCTTCTGAATGTAACAATGCAATGTAACAACAGTTTCACAGAGTAAACTACAAATCACTTTAGTCCTAGTAGCCAGACTCCGTTTGTTCAAGACTCTGGGGCTTGAGCTATTAGAGGGCTCTTTCTTGGGAGGGGATAGGAGGGAATCTCCAAGGATGTGTTCTTATTTCAAGAACTTCCCTTTGCTTCCACACACCCCCACTTACCGAGATCTTGACTTGGGTGCACCTTCCAGATCTTCCAAGGTCTGGGGAAGAATGTTGGTTTGTTTGGAACCTTCACTGACAAAGACTCTCTCCTTGACCAAACTTTTAGTCAGACTCCTCTGAACCCTCTTCTTAACTAGGCTTCAACCTTTGGGCTTCAGTGTTTGTCTTTGCAACACCCACTTTTAGCAAGAATTCTGTCATGTCAGTTTAGCTTGAGTTCTTGATATCTGATCACTCTCAATACCTAATTAAATTCTTCATCCACCCAGGTGGTATCTGATCACTCTGGCCAGCCCTCAGCAAGAATCCTGTTGGTCAGTATAGTGAGAATTCCCCTCTATCCTTTATGTCTCCTCTTTGTAATTTTCCATGAACTGACCACCCCCCAACCCCAACTTGCTCCTTGCCTATAAATCTCCACTTGTTCTTGCTATATTTGGAATTGAGCCCAGTTCTATACTGAAGTCTCTTTCCCCCATTGCAATAGTTCCTGAATTAACAAAACAAAACAAAACAAAAACCCCTCAACTACTGTTCAGCTCTGGTTTTCTTTAACATCACTCAGGGGTTCACATTCTTGTCCTCCTGACTGTGGACAGTTTTTCTTAAAGCTGGGCCCTAATTAAAGTTTTAAAGTGAAAAGGAGAAACAGCAATAAACCCCAGAGCTGTTGGCTACAACATTATAAATGGCTTTGGTGCAAATGAGCATCTTCCTACAACTGGAATATAATTACCCTCTGTGCCTGGCATCACATATGGGGCAATCAGGGAAGGGATAATAAAAATGAGGATAACACTGACCCCACCCATGGCCGGAGGTGAGGGGTTGGGTGGGGGTGGGAGAACAGTTAGACCTGGAGACAGGCACACACACAGACACACAAACACTCTTCTCCAACGTACTCAACCCTAAAGACAAGCCCAGAAACACCGCCCATTATGGGTAAACTCCTGCGATCTCTGGGATAAGAACACAGTTACAGAAACGTCATGCCCAAAGTCAGCCACAGTTCTTCACACACCCACAATCACTCTCCCATTCTTGGCGTGACAGACCCACAATCTGTCACACAACGACCCACACTCAAGGGGCGTGACTGAAAATACAGAAGCTCACTACACCGACAGAACCCGTCGCCCCGTGGTGAGCAAGCACAAAAGTGTGCAGCGACAGTCACACACACAAACCGCCCCACCTGAGCATTCAATAACAGTCACGGACGTGCACCATTCCCTCACACACAGTAGCCCAGAGTCATTTGAGTGCCCAAGATCGCCCAGGGTCGCACACAGCGTTCCGGGTACCCGCACCTGCGGCCGCGGTCACCTGTAGCGCAGGCGCGATGTCGAGGCGTGCCTCGGGGCCCTCTGGGAAATGTTCTTTCCGCAAAGAGGCCGAGGCGCAAAGCGTTCTGGGGCTCGTGGTCCGCGGGGTCGGAAGGAAAAACAGTCGCTAGTCCAGGTTCCTGCAGCTGGAGTTTACCCAGCGGAGCTCGGTGTCCCGCGCGCCTCAGTCCCCGCCCCGCTCCGCCCCGCAGGGGATTCTGGGAGGCGACGTCGCCGGTCTCGGGTCATTGGGCGTGTTTCCAGAGCCAGTGGCGCTGGTAGGTGAGTAGGGCCTGGCTACGCGCGAGAGCCAGAGGGCAGGGCCGGGCTTGGGGTGGACCCGCAGGGAACGGGATGGGAACCAGGAGGGCGCCGCCGAGAAGACTGTGTGACAGGCTGCGGGTGTGACAGGGTGTGATCATCTGTGTCACCGTGTATGTAATTGTGCAGGACTGTGACCGTCTGTCTCCGGTATAAAACTCCGAGTCTATGTGTTTGTGCGTGACTGTCTCCGCAGGTGTAACTGTGTTATTGTGTATGGGTTTGTGAGAGATTGCGGGTGTGATTTTGTGTGTGTGTGTGTCGCTGTGTGTGTGTGTGACTGTGTTTGACCCCTTGTCCCTGTGGATATAACTGCGTTTGAAGGTGTGTGACAGAAGGTGTGATTACGTGCCCATGACCATCTATCTCTGCAGGTATAATTTTGTGTGAGTAATTGTGGCAGGATGTGTGACTTTGTGTGGTATGTCACTATGCATGAGATTGTGTGTGACTGTCTCTCTGTTGGAGTAACTGTGTATCGTCATCTCTATCTTTGTGTTAATACCACTGTGTATGTATGTGACATTACAGTCGCAATTATGTGACCATATATATGTGTGTGATTGGGTGAGAATTTGTATGTGTATGTCAGACCTAGTGTGTGATTGTGAGACACAGAAAGATTAAAATTACACACCCACATTCACACAGTTACTAAATGACAGAATCAGGACTTAAGCCCAGGCAATTTGGCTCCAGAGGCCTTGCTTTTAATTGCTAAACTCTCTTGATCTTTCTCATGCTGTGAGGGTGAAAAATGGGGGCCCTGAGTTCTGAGGGTGTTGGAGAGGATTGTCTGTGGTCTTGGACTAGGACCCTTCTGGACATAGAACTTAACCTGGGTCTCTTTGTTTGGTCCCCTTGTGAGTAATAGAACCCAATCTAAAGACACTGTGGTGAAACCATCCTCATATTGGCTGCCTTTGGGGGAGGAAAGCCCAACCTGAAAGCCCAGTCTTCCTCTCCTTAGGCCATGGAGTTTGAGATTTTAGGTTTGTCCTTGTCAAAACTCTTCCATGTTTGGTGCTGAGAGAGGCTGATCCATGGCTCTTTTTCTCACATACCAAGTGAACTAAGTGTTTGGTTCTGACTTCACGTAATAAAGAAAAATGCTCTCATTTCCTTTTCAACTGTGTGTGTAAAATCTAAGTGGAAATAAGGGTGGCACTTCTCTATGCCAGGAGTGGCTCAAGCAGTCTTGACAGTGAGGAAAGGTTCTGACAGTTGGGTTGATTTGCCCAAGGTCACGTAGCCAATGGGGAAAGGAATGGAGAGTCAGTGTGTGTCTGGGGGTCTATATAAAGCACAAGTCTTTCACAACACCTTTCAGAGACTGATGGTTCATCTCAAACTTGGAAAGTATTATTCAAATGATACACAGCGATTTGAAACAGCAATTTAAAAGCTATTTCTTTTATGCAGGTGCTACTTAGAGCTCCCAGGTGCTGAGAAGACTTCACTGATTCTCCTCTTGGGTTGCAAAGGCTTTTATGGACAAATTCAAGCTGCATTACACTAAGGAAATAATTTTCCTACAGATTGAGTTGGTTAGTGCAGAGTAGCCCAGAATTAGGGGGTTGTATATCTTAAATTCTAAGTCAAACACAACTATCTTTGTTTTCAGAGTGAAGAAATGTTGGCTCTGAGAAGACAAGGAACTTGTTTCAGGCTGTGCAGTTTCTTGTTGGTTTGGTATTGAAATTTGTCAATGTTTGCCTCAGGCTGAATTTCTGTGGAGTAATAGAGGTAACACCTGCCACCTCAGAATATGCTTCTCTGAAAAACATATAGCATTGATTTCTCAGGTTATGTTGAATATTTCCCATACAAACATTGTGGTCTCTTGAAAGAGGACCAGTTTTTGAGCCACGCTGCAGTTTGACTCTTATGACTTTGAGTTAGCTGTTTAAGCTTTTTGAACTTCAATTTCACTTGGTGGTAAAATGGGGATAATAATACCTACCTCTGCAGTTTTGTGAAGATTAAATAAGATAATGACATACACAATATGTGTAACATGGCTATTTATATTACAGGAGCCACAGTAAGATTTATTTATTTGTTTATCAAATATGTTTTTAGCACTTACAGTGGTTCTGGCATTATTCTAGCACTAGAGATATACCAGTGAACCCAAGAAATCCTGGCTGTCTTAAATCTTATACTGTTGTTTGGGAAGACAACAGTTAACAGAAAAAAAAAAAGTAACATGTCCAATGATGTTAAATGCTAAGAAGAAAAATAAATCAAGATAAGGAAAAATAATAACTGGGAGGGAGATTCCCTTTAGGTATAATAGGGAGGTCCCTCCAATGTTGTTAACAATTGAGCACAGATAAGAATGAAGAGAGGGAATGTGCCGTGTCCAGGCAGAAGGAAAAGCCAAGGCCACAGCCTTGAAAAAGGAGTGTGGACAATGTTTGAGGAACTATAAGGAAATCTGTATGCCTGGAATAGGGTGAATAAGGGGGAGAAGAGTGGGAAATGAGGTCTAAGGGGCAGCCAGGGCTAGATCATAAATTGTCTTATTGGCGATAGGATGGACTTTAGATTTTGTTGAGTTCAGGCTGTGTGTCCTTAATATCAGTCAGGAGTTCAGGGGTTAAGTTCAGCTTTGGCCTTTTTTCTCAGATCTTGGAACAGGGTAGGGCTGGTCCATGTAAAGAAACTAGGGACCATAAAGGGGCAAAAAACTCTGTGAGTCTCAGATCAGCAACATAGGGCTGCTCTGCCATTTTTTTCTTGTTTAACTCTCCCTTCTCAGGACTTTGTTCTCCAAAAGAGAAAATTGAAGAAGGAAGGAAGAATGGCTGTTGGACTATGTAAATCCATGTCCCAGGTAAGTTGATGTTTTCACTTTGTTTCCAGAAATTCCACATCATTTTTCAGGACTTTGGGACCTCAGAGAGAGTCACAAGTAGCCCAGTGAGTGCACTCTTCACTTCTCTCTCTCTCCACTATTTGTTCATATAATCCTTCTACAAAACATTTAGTTGCTATTTTTACTAGTGTTGTGCTTAAATGTATGATGGAACAGAACTTTTCCTCTTTAGATGAATCACAATTTGTTGTGTTGGAGATGAATGCAAGTGAAATAAAGGATGGAGTGTGATTATCAAATAGGGAGGTCAAGGACGGCTTTTCTGAGAAAGTGACAGTTGAGCAAAGAAAAACCTGAGTGAAAGTAGGCAGTAGGTTTTGTGGAGTTCTGGGAAGAGATTTTAAAAAGTAGAAGGAATAGCAAGTACAAAGTTACTGTGTTGGGAGCATGTTTGATGTGTTCCAGGGATAGCAATAAGCCAGTATCCTCAGACAGAAATGTGCACTGTGAGATTAGAGCAGTAGCTGGGGACCAAATTATGCAGGCCCTTAAAAGTCATGACCAGAACTTTGATTTTTGTTCTAAAGGTGAAGGAGAACCATTGGGTGTTTGTGATGTGATTTGATTTATGTTTTAAAAGGAAAATAAATAGCAGAGAAGTAACAGTGGAAGCAGGGAGGCCAGTCAGGAGACTGCTGCAATAATCCAGGTGGGAGGTGATAGCTGCCTGGACCATGGTGGTGGCATTGGAGCTGGTGAGATTCTGGGTGTATATTGGAGATATAAAATATGGGATTTGATCAGGGATTGGTTGTGGAGTATGAGAGGAAGAAAGAAATCATGAATGACTACAAAGATTTTTGACCTGGGCAATTGTGTAAATGGTCATGCCATTTACTGAGATGGGAAGACAGGGTGGGATGAGATAAGAATCAAGAATTGAGTTCTAGATATATTAAATTCGAGAGACCTGTGGGATATCCAAGTAAAGTATTGATTATATATCTAGAGTTCAGGACTGGAGATGTGAATTTGAGAGTCATTAGTGTATTTAAAGCCATGGGACAGGATGAGATTATCTTGAGGGTAGGGTTGTGGTGAATGTAGATAGGAAAGAGGTCCAAGGACTGAGCTTAAGGCATTCAATATAAGAGGCTGACAAGAAGAGGAGGAACCAGCAAAAGAGACTAAGAAGGACTGATGTAGAAGGAAAACCAGGAGAGTGTGGGTCCCGTGAGTCAATAGTAGAAAGCATTTCAAGGAGATGATCAACTGAGTTAAATTCTTCTGAGAGAGACTGAGGAAGATGCTAGGACCGTATGGGAGTACTTGGCAAACAGCATTTTTTAAAAAATTTCAGGGTTTGGTGACCTTCAGGGATGTGGCTCTAAATTTTTCCCAAGAGGAGTGGGAATGGCTGGACTCATCTCAGAAGGATTTGTACAGAGATGTCATGTTGGAGAACTACAGGAACTTGGTATGGCTTGGTAAGGATATGTATCCCCCATAATTCAAATCTTCCCTATGAGGTGTTTATGCTTCCTCCATTGGGAATATCTAGGGCATCTTAAATGCTTAGCTGGATTTCTACTTCGTGTTCCCAGGAAATTATTCAAAGTAGTTTCATAGATTTATAAATGAGTATAGTTCCCTTTGCTCTAGAATGATGGTTTGGGATAGCAGCATTAGTATGGCGTGGAAATTTTTTTAATTGCAAATTATGGGGTCCCACTATAGACCTACAGAATCTGGGAATAGGCCTAATAGTCTGGGTTTTAATGAGCCCTCCAAGTGGTTCTGATACCCATTAAAATTTGAGAACCACTGTGGCTTCTGATTCAGTAGGTCTGGTTGGGGCAGCCTGAGAATTTGCATTTCTAATAAGTTCCTAGGTGATGGTTTTTCTGCTCTAGTACTTTGAGAACTGCTGCTATGAAGGAAGCTTTGTCTGTCTCATTCTCCATTCAAGCATCTTTCCATTCTCTGGCCCTTCCTCTAATGTCCTTTCTTGCCTAATGACCAAGAGATTGAGTCTGAGTCTGGAATAGCAATAGCAAGTTGATTTGTTTATCTATCTGTCTGTCTTGCTGGCTCTCATTTTTCTTCTCCTGTAAACAGGACTTTCCATTTCTAAGCCCAACATGATCTCCTTATTGGAACAAGGGAAGGATCCTTGCATGGTGGAGAGAGAGATGTCAGATGGTCAATATGCAGGTGAGTGACGGGGAACAGGGAGGGCTGTTGTAAGGTGACAGCACGAGTGGTCATAAGAAGACTGCCCTGCATTTGAGGAGGCTGTCCTGGGCTTCAGGGGATCATTTCCTCTCTATTTCTATCAAGTTATATTCTCAATAATATTTCTACCTATACCCTGAATCTTGTTCCTTTTAAGTTCTTCTTTCCCCTTTATGGGTAGAGTTATATACATTTCTAGATTTCTTTTTAGAGTTTTTATTTTTATCAAAGTTATTATCAAAGTTATGCATGCACATTGGTTGAAGAGACAAGTTGTTTTATAAGGCTTATTCCTTTAAAAAAGGAGGTCTCTTGCCCTGCTTCCCAGTTTCCCTCTCCCTAAAGGGATCCACTTTCTTTACTTTTGCAGCTTCTTTTGGTGTCTCCTTCATGTCTCTAATAAATATATTTATGTTGCTATTTCTTGATTTTTTTTTTCAGGTTTAGTCCTCATCCAATATCTTCACTAAGAAAATAAGAATTTAGTACTTTCTTATCCTGAATCCAACATGTGTGTGAGCATGCACACGCACACACACAATTTCTATCTTCCTATCTCACTGATATCATAATTCTTTAAGTTTTATTTATTTTTTTAATTGAAGTGTAGTTGATTTACCACGTTGTGCCAGTCTCTGGTGTACATTAAAGTGACTCAGTTATACACATATGGACATTCTTTTTTTTTAATATTCTTTTCCATTATGGTTTATCACAGGATATTGAATATAGTTCCCTGTGCTATAAGTAGGACCTTGTTGTTTATCCATCCTATATGTAATAGTTTATATCTGCTAATCCCACACTCCCAGTTCTTCCCTCCCCCACCCCCTCCCTCTTGGCAACCACAAGTCTGTTCTCTATGTCTATGAGTCTGTTTCTGTTTTGTAGATAGGTTCATTTGTGCCATATTTTTAGATTCCATATATAAGTGATATAATATGGTATTTGTCTTTCTCTTTATGACTTATTATGGTAATCTCTTAGTTGCATCCCTGTTGCTGCAAATAGCATTATTTCGTTCTTTTTTATGGCTGTGTAGTATTCCATTGTGTGTGTGTGTGTGTGTGTGTGTGTGTGTGTGTGTGTGTGTGTGTACCACATCTTCTTTATCCTTTCATCTGTAGATGGACATTTAGGTTGTTTCCATGTCTTGGCTATTGTGAATAGTGCTTCTATGAATATAAGGGTGCATTTATCTTTTTGAATTATAGTTTTGTCCAGGTATATGCCCAGGAATGGGATTGCTGGATCATATGGTAATTCTATTTTTAGTTTTCTGAGGAACCTCCATACTGTTTTCCATAGTGGCTGCACCAACTTACATTCCCACCAGCAGTGTAGGAGGGTTCCCTTTTCTCCACACCTTCTCCAGCATTTGTTTTTGTAGACTTTTTAATCATGGCCATTCTGACTGTTGTGAGGTGGTACCTCATTATAGTTTTGATTTGCATTTCTCTAATAATTAGTGATGTTGAGCAGCTTTTCATGTGCTTCTTGGCCATCTGTATGTCTTCTTTGGAGAAATGTCTATTAAGATCTTCTGCCCATTTTTCGATTGTTTGTTTTTTTGTTGTTGAACTGCATGAGCTGTTATATTTTGGAGATTAAGCCCTTGTCGCATCATTTGCAAACATTTTCTCCCATTCCATAGGTTGTCTTTTGGGTTTCTTTAATGGTTTCCTTTGCTGTGCAAAAGCTTGTAAGTTTGATTAGGTCCCATACCAATATCTTATTTTTTATTGAACCACTGTTCAGTGTTTACATTATTATGGCTATTAAGTGCTAGTCATAGCTGTGCTGTGCATATACCAAGGTTACTTTTTCTGTACTTTTTCTTGGCATTAATAATTATCTGGGGTTTTGTCTATTTTTTTTCCTTAGTTTTCTATATACATATTCCTAACTCAATTCTTAACTCCTGATCAATTGTTTAAATCTCTTAAGACACTCAGACACATTAGGTTATCTATTGATTTTACCTTCTTGGAGAAATCTCTCCAGAGTCTTCAGATATGCTTCACTCTAGACAGATGGCTCATTACATTTGCTTGCATTCTATTTGGGTTTATCTAACGTTTTCTCATGATTAGATTGAGGTAGTGCATTTCTTAAAAGAGTGCCACAGAAATAATGTTGTATCCTTCTCAGTGAGTGCATCATACCAAAGGATTGATAATATTGATATATCTTATTATCAGTGATGTTAATTTTCATCACTTGGTGAAGGTGGTATCTGCCTGGTTTCTCCATTGTAAAGTTACTATTTTTCTATTTATAATTAATAAATATTTGGGGAAGATACTTGATACTATTCAGTTTCTTCTGAAACTTTTGCCCACTAATTTTAGCATCCACGGCCCTGTTGGATCTTGTCTGCAACAGTTACCACTGTTGTGGTATTGAGCTAATGTTGACATTTTTATTTCCTTTTATTTACACATATTAACTAGGATTGTTCTGTCTGGAAGAGCTGTTTCATCTCTCCCATTTGTTTATATATTAAAATATTTCTTCATATTTATGGAATGATGGGTTTTTTTTCCCTATGAGTTAAAACTACTGTATCATTATTTTGTTGCTCAAAGTGTTCCAGCTTTGACCATTTAGATTTTCTTCAAGTTGGTTCCTATGACCTTTTAACATGCCCCACTTCGTGGTTCCAGGTGTTCCAGGTTCATCTTGTTTTCCTTTCCCCAGCCTTGAATCAACCACTTCTCCAAGGAGCCCTGGTTCCTTTTATTGGGAAATGATGTTTAGAAACCAAGGTCTGGGTACTAGGTGTACTTATTGCTACTGGAAGTGATTTCTTCTAGGCCCTCACAGCAGACAGAGCTGGAAAATATATGTATGTATACCAACACACACTTTTAGACAGACACACACTTTTATATTTATTTCTGTCTTTATTTTTTTAATACATTAAATTATTGGTTTATATTGATACCTTGATTTTAGTCCTACCCTCCACAGGGTTTATCATAGCCTTTCTCCTTTACTTATTTGTAATTTCTTCTTCTGACAGTGAGAAGCAATGTATTTAATTATTTCCTGCATTTAAGTGTACACACAAAGTAGTTTCAGAATTTCTAACCTATTCCTCTGTGAGAAATAAATTTACTAAGTACATTACATTAGTTGTATTTAGGTACAAATGTACTCTTTTAGTTTTAAGTATTCAGTCAAAAACTATTTTCCAGAGTTACTTAGGTTAGTTCTTCTAGGTTCATTTGTTTCTGTTGATTCCTACTACATCCTGGTTGATTTTACTTTTTTATTTTGTATCTGAAACATTACTATGCTCCTAAGAATCAGACCTTTACAAGAATGTATCCTCAGAAAAGTGTCGCTCCCTCCTCATCCTTACTGTCTTGTTTCTGTTCCCTACTTCTTCCTGACACTTTCTTACCCACCCCTTGTAGATCACCAGTCTTTATTTTCAGGTTTGTCCTTTTTATGTTTCTTTTGCAGAAATGAGCAGATATACCTGTAGATTTGCATTTGCTCTTTTCACTTAGCTATAACGACATGGTTTGAACTGCGAGGGTCCACTTATATGTGAATTTTTTCAATAAATACTTACTACACGTTCCGAGGTAGGTTGAATCCACGGATGCTGAACTGCAGATTCGGAGGGCTGACTGTAAAGTTATACCCATAGCCCCTGCATTGTTCGGGGGTCAGCTGTACAGGAAATCACTCCATATGAGTTCATGGGGAGCTTCCTCATTTTTCTAACAGCTGCAGAATACTCCATTCTGTGGATGTTATGGTAATTTATTGAATACTCTATAATGTGTGAACATTTAGGATGTTTGCAGTAGTTTACAATTACAGACAATGCTGCAATAAATAACCTTGTAAATATGTATGTTCCTGTTGTTGAGGCTTTATTTTCAGGGTTGTTTTGTAGATGTAGGATTGCTAAGTAAGTGCATATGTAGTTCAGGAATTGCCAAATTCCTCCCCAAAAATGTTGTACCTGTCTGCTTTTTGTATTAGTTTCTTATGGCTGCTGTAACAAATTACCACAAATTTAGTGACTGAAAACAACACAAAAATATTATCATACAGCTCTGGATCCAGGTCAGAAGTTCAAAATGGGTCTTACAGGGCTAAAATCAAGATGTTGGCAGCCTGCCTTCCTTCTGAAGGCCCTTGGGGAGAATCTGTTTCTTGCCTTTTTATGCTTTCTTTAGGGCCTTTATCATCTGTTTATTTTCAACTTTGTAAAATCACCTGTTTTAAACGTGAGCTTTATATGCAGTATAGAATTGAGTTTTGCTTTGTGAACCAGTCTGGATATCATTTCAATTTAATAGGTGAAAGTCCAACCATGTTTTTGATATGTTTGGGCTTAATTCTGTACATTGTTTTGTGTTATATTTTCTGATTTTTACAGTTTTTAAAAAAGACTTTAGCTTATCTGTTTTCCTAGGCTTTTTTTTTGGTCGTATAATACTATAGTTTTTATAATAATTAGAAAGATTCTTCTTTTTTTCTAGTGCCTTCACGGTTATAGTGCTCTGTTTCTTTAGACAGTATTTATTCCTTCTATTACTTGATTGGTCAGCTTTAAAAACTAGCTTTTGATTTTTTTACCTGTTACAGATGTGTCAATAAGTAGCCTTATTATACTCCCCACCTTGTTTTCCCAAATTTTGTTACTTGTATCCTTTTTACATTGTCCAGGCATATTATATTTACATGCTCTTGTGTCACATTTATCCCAACCTTTCCTTTTGTCTTAATTCTGTAGTTATATATATTTAGTGTTTTCCACTAGGTCATTTTGCTGAAATTTCTCTGGACATCTCTGGATTGGCTGAAATCTGCTCTCTAGCAGTTTCCTCAAAAAGAGTTCATGCAAACAGTGTCCCCCTAAGCTCTACCTTGTTCATAATTGGCCATTCTTTCCTTAAGTTGCTTATAGCATAGTATTGGTGTTGAATGTTGTTACAAAGAAGTCTGATGCCAGCTTGATATTTTCCCTTTATGTATAAGTGTCTTTATATTTTGTTCTGATCTCCTAGATGGGTACAGGTTAGGGTGCGGCTACGGGTTAGGGTTAGGGTACGGGTTGGGGTATGGTTTATGGTTAGGGTACGGGTTATGGTTAGGGTACCGGTTAGGGTTAGGGTATGGGTTAGGGTTAGGGTATTTATTAAACCTCTCCCACTCTCCAGATATCACTTAGCACGTAAAGGTATATTATTCGGGGTCCAGCCATGGAGAAGACTTTAGACACTAGGATAAGAGAAAGAACACACACATTATAAATAAATCACATTAGGATTTTGTTTTAAACCTGTACATTAAAACACTAGTGCTTAGGAAATCTAATGGAGGCAGAAGCAGTAAAGGGTAGTTTTATGGGAATAACATCACAGATTTTCTGTAGAATACACAGATTTTGACTGGTTAGAAAGTCAAGGAGGAATGCTTTTGTTCTGAAGACATACACCCTCTTCTAAATTGAGCTGTTATTGGAAGTTAGAAATTTTTTGTTGCTGTTGTATTGCTTTGTGTTTTCATGATTATTTTGCTTGCATCTCCCTTGTTAAACCTTTGATTTGGGGAAGAGTGCCATTACTGGAAATGATTTTACAGAATTATTCTCAAAAACAAAAGGAAATGGTTCTCACCTAAATATTAAGCAATAATCTCTATACTGGTGTACTAACAGAATTATGATTCAGGGATAATAATTCTATGAAATGTAATTAAACACACAATATATTTTTTCTTTTAAATTTCCATTGTTACTTTTTTAAAGTACAATTGTAATTCAAATTCTTTGTAACAAGTGAAATTTTAAAAGATTAAAGGAAAAGATAATATTTTACCACTTGCCATTCTTTCCCACTCCCTGAAACGACCAGCATAAATGTGTAGCTTTCTTATTTTATCCAGGTGTTCTATACATCTGGAACATCATGTTTCTCACTGTATAAAAACAGATTTAGCTCTCACAATTTTATTTTTTGGCGGTACACAGGCCTCTCACTGTTGTGGCCTCTCCCGTTGCAGAGCACAGGCTCCGGACACACAGGCTCAGCAGCCATGGCTCACGGGCCTAACCTTTCATTTTAAAGTCATTTTATCAGGACATGTTTTAGTCTTGACCATTTTGGGTCACTTTTTCCTGGTAGATATGTTCTCTATCAGGATGGAGACTCAAGTTTTTATTTCTGGAAATATTTTTTTCTTTTTTTACTGATGAAGTTAAAAATATAGGAAAGTATAGAGAATAATATAATAATATAGTAAAGGATTTCCCATTGATGAACAGTTTTTGTATTTCTGAATTGCATACTTCATCATGTGTATTATTTATTTAATATACTGCTTGATTCAATTTTTAATATTTAAGAATTTTGCCTGTTATCCATGAGATTGGTCTGATATAAGAACAGTGAAATAGATCAGTGGAACAGTGAAGAATGTACAAAAATACACCCATGTATATATGAGAATTTAGTATTAGATAAAGGTAGTTTTTCAAATTAGTGGTGTAAAAAGATTTTCTTAAAAGTTATGGATAATAGTTGTATAATATTGGGTTTTGGAAAGTCTTTCTTAAAATGACATAAAGGCCAGGCTCTATAATGAAAAAATTGGAAGATTTGAGTTCATACAAATTTTAAAAAAATTTTATCAGAAGCATTATAAATCAAGACGACATGTGACAATAAAATTATAAATGAAGATGACATGTGATTGGAGGGAGAAAAATGCTCAAAAGCCTTAATGTCTTCAATTTATAATGACTTCTATAAACCACTTAAAAGAAATGCCAGTGTAATTGAAATATATGCAAAGTACCTGAATAAGGAATTCACCAAAGAAGAAACCACAAAATATATAAAAGGTACATAAATATATATGAAAATGCTCAATTTTATAATCATAGAATTGCAAATTAAAACAATAATGAGGTACTCTTTACTTGTAAGGGCAAATATTTTTAGAATGATGTTAGCCAGTGTGAATGGGTTCAAAGACATATTTCACGTTGCTGACAGGAATGTAAATTGATTAAAAAAAAGTCAGAACCATGACTTTCTCCCCTCTTTCCTCCAAGTAAATTCTTTAATTTCTTCTATAACAGTTTTCTTTCTCCTTGGAAGGGTAAAAAGGAGACATTTGCTTTCTTGATATTTTTCAGAATGGGACTCTTTGTATGAAATCAAGGCATTATCTCCAAAATGGTACATTGATGAAGAGGAAATATCCCAGGGGATGATAATGGAAAGACTTACAAGTTATGGCCTTGAATCCTCCAGTTTCAGAGAAGCCTGGAAATATGAGGGTGAATTTGAGCAGCATCAGGGAAATCAGGAGAGTCATTTCAGGCAAGTGACAACTCTTAAGGAAATCTCTGCCATGAAAAGAGACAATGAATATAATAATTCTGAGATAAATGTTCTCTTGAACTCAGTACTTTTAACACAACAGAGAGTTGCCACAGTAGAACAAGTACATAAATTTGATATTTATGATAAAATGTTCCCCCCAAATTCAGTTCTAACTGAACATAAAACACTACATGCTGAGAAGGAATCTTTGATAGGTAATGAATGTGAAGAATTCAACCAGAGTACATACCTTAGTAAAAATGCAGAAATTCCTCCTGGGGAGAAACGTTACGAAAGTGATGATTTTTCAGATCTCTTAAGTTTTCACTCATTACTTACTCAACATCACACAACTCATCTTGGAAAATTATCCCATGGATATGTTGAATGTGGTGCTGCCTTTAGCTGTTATTCGTTCTTTACTCAACCTCAGAGAATTCACAGTAGAGAGAAACCATATGCATGCAATGACTGTGGAAAAGCCTTTAGCCATGACTTCTTTCTCAGTGAGCATCAGAGAGCTCATACTGGGGAGAAACCATATGAATGTAAGGAATGTAACAAAGCTTTCAGACAGAGTGCACACCTTGCTCAACATCAGAGAATCCACACTGGAGAGAAACCCTTTGCATGCAATGAATGTGGTAAGGCGTTTAGCCGTTATGCCTTCCTTGTGGAACATCAGAGAATTCACACAGGAGAGAAACCATATGAATGTAAGGAATGTAACAAAGCCTTCAGACAGAGTGCACACCTTAATCAACATCAGAGAATTCACACTGGAGAGAAACCCTATGAATGTAATCAATGTGGAAAAGCCTTCAGCAGACGCATAGCCCTTACTCTGCATCAAAGAATTCACACAGGAGAGAAACCCTTTAAATGTAATGAATGTGGAAAGACCTTTGGCTATCGCTCACACCTTAATCAACATCAGAGAATTCACACTGGTGAAAAGCCCTATGAGTGCATCAAATGTGGGAAGTTTTTTAGGACTGATTCACAACTTAATCGACATCATAGAATTCATACTGGAGAGAGACCTTTTGAATGCACTAAATGTGGGAAAGCCTTCAGTGATGCTTTAGTTCTAATTCATCATAAGAGAAGTCATGCAGGAGAGAAACCCTATGAATGTAACAAATGTGGGAAGGCCTTCAGTTGTGGCTCATACCTTAATCAACATCAGAGAATTCATACTGGAGAGAAACCTTATGAATGTAATGAATGTGGGAAGGCTTTCCATCAGATCTTGTCCCTTAGGCTACACCAGAGAATTCATGCTGGAGAAAAACCCTATAACTGTAATGAATGTGGGAACAATTTTAGCTGTGCTTCAGCTCTTCGACGACATCAGAAAATTCATAATAGAGAAGCTCTCTGATTATGTATAACAAGTATAAGAAAGAAAACATTTAGTCACCATTCAGTCCTTATTAAATAAATATCAGTGAGTTCTTCAGTTAGTAATTCTATGAATGTAGTACCTATGGAGAAGCCTTCAGTTCATGAGCATCCCTTATTTGAAATAGCCTGAGTAGTAGACATCTGTTACTTTTGGATCTCTTCTATACCCTATTTGAGACTTATCTCACCCTCAATGCATATCATTCTGATGAAATTGTTTAATCAGGAAGAGCAGTAGATTGGTCATAGGCAGGCCAATTATTTTCTTCAACCTCATGATAGATAAGGGATTTACAAATGGCCCTGTCTAGACCAGTAGAGTCCTAGGGGGTCATTGTTATGGGTAGTAAGAAAAGATTTTTTTTTCCCCACCCCAGAATTGCAAGTTTCAAGGATTTAGTAAGGTTAAAAACTTACCAGTAGCCTTTTTGCCACCACATGAAGAAAGCCTTCCCAGGATAAATCTAACACAAAGGAAAACTGAGGTCAGAGACAGAAATCTGAGGATGCTGTTTGATCTTCTGGATCCAATCTTGTCTGAAGTCTACACCATCTTTTACTTTTTCATTTTTATGATCCAATAAATTTTCTTTTTTCTGCTTATGTTAATTTGACTTGGGTTTTTGCCTCTTGGAATCAGAGTCCTGACTCATACACCCCATGTTTGCTACACATGTGAGAAAGCCTTAATCTTTTATATGGCATAATTGTTTATCCTGAGGATAAGCCTCATAACAAGTATATGAAAGTTAAATACACAGCCTTCATAAAGCTGAGAGAATTGTTACATTTTATTTGTTGATAAAAACTAATTTAGTATTCATTAGTCTGTTTCACAATAAGGAATAATTTTTAAAAATTCACTTAGTGAAACTTATTACCAGGCTTTCTCATAGGGAATTAAAATCATTTGTGGCAGTGACTCACTATAGACCTTTAAAGAAAGATTGGCCAGCTAAGAGAATAATGGATCCATCAGTTTAATGAATGGCTCTTCATCTTAAAGGAATTATTTGATTTTCTACTTTCAGCATGGGTTTAAACATATCATGTGATAGAATAAGATAGAATTGTAAATGAGGTTTTTTGTGGGTGGGTTGTAAACTTGGTTTAAGAAGTTTATAGATAACTTCTTTGGAACGAGACATATTAGACAAGACATTGCTGGCAGACAGAAAGAATGAGCCATTTTCAACTAATGGTTAAAGTAAAGCAGTTGGAGCCTAAAATTTTTAGAGTATAAATCATTACTATTCAGAGTAAAGAGGAACAGGAGGGTGTGGGGCAGTATATTCCTGTTTTATCTGAGTGTATATACGAAGGTAAACTTTAATATGGAGACGCCACTTTGAACAGTTAGAACCAGTTATAATCTTGGGCATTGTCTGGAGAGCATCTATAAAAACAGATCAGGACAAATGAATTATGAAAAAGTGAAGGATTTACATGTGTATATATGTGCGTGGAGCAAAACAATGACTACTAATATAATTTCTTTAATAGTCAATTTATATCTAATAAAAATCTGAAAATTATTTTTCTTAAATATTAAGACAAATTCCCTTTGAACAACTTAAATTACAGACCTAGTATATTTGAATACTTCAAACCTTGAGCAGAAACAAATATAATGGTTTTAAAACACTGCCAAACTTGCATTATATCTAATCTAAAATATATTAATAATCGTAAGCTAAATTCATGTAATCATTCCTTTATTCTCATATTTTCTGGAGGTATAGGAACACTTATTTGGATATGTTCTAAGGGTTTAGATATAACTTACATCAGAAAGCTCCTCAGGGTTACTCTAAACTTACTAAGCTTAAAGGAAAAAAAATAATGACTCAGACCAGTGATGAGTCTGAGTTGTTCACTAATTGATTCTTGATCTAAGTATGGCACCTGATTTCTTCCTCCAAGGTGATATAAACCCAAGCCACTGATTCTGTTTTTACAGTTAAACTTCACTTGTAATGTTGATAAAATCTGTTACACCCATGCCTTTAGCACAGGTGTTTGTACTTTACAATCTGATGTTTCTCCTCACAATGAGGTACCTAAATTTTGTTTATCTGCAACTATACAATCCATTGTCTTATTGTGATATATTGACTTGATCTTTTAGCATTATAACTCATGCTTTATTAGTATGTTATAGATATCAGGACCAGCTAGAGATTTCCTATCCTAAGAAATAGAAGTTTGAGTCTGTTTAGTTAATTATCTTTAGGACATGAACTAATCCATTTAGGACTCACTGGTTAAACCTTTTCCACTTGGTTGAGTGTGATCAATGGCAATGAATTTTTGGATTTCTTTTTTAATCTGGTTATTGTGCTGAACGTATCTTTGTGCCTTGTTACAGTTTATGCAGTTTTTGCTTGTCATATAGAAGCGTTTTCTTTATTTACTCTTGCTTAAGTAGAAGGTTTGTATTTATGTGTTTATGTGTATGTGTTTTATTTAAAATTTTTGTATTGAGCACCTACTCTGTTGCAGGCTTTGTTCTAATCCAGGCTTTGGAGGTAACAGTTGTGAGTTAAACAGACAAAAATCCTTCCCTTCATAGAGCTAATTTCTAGTGAAGAAGTTAGACAATAAAATATATATATAAGTAAAACATATACTATGTAAGAGAGTAACTTCTAAGGAGAAAAAGATGAAGGAAGAGCTGGGTGACCAGGTTGATATTTTAGATTGTGTGGCCAGTGAAGTCCTCTTTTGAAGTTAACTTTTGATTAAAGACCTGGGAGAGATGAGAGATCTGTCTATTCATGCTACATATATACACACATACACGTACACACATATACACATGTATAGCCCTTATCTACCTAATGGAAAGGAAATTCATATATGTATATGTATGTGTGTGTATATATATATGTTTTATACTTTGTTCTTACTAAATTCTTTCTCATTTTATTATGCCTCTATTTGTGTATTGCATTTTAACATTTTTCCTTTTAGTCTCATGAACTCATGGCCTTCTACAGTTTTAACACATTTTAATTATAATGTATATATATTTTTTGATGCTCAAATTATCAGAGTTTAGCCATTGGGGCCACTTTAAGCTAACTCCTTGTTCCCTTCAGCACTGCTGCCCTGACATCTCTGCAAGCAACTTTACTTTCTGGCAATAAAAGGATATTCCAGACCCATCCTAAATGTTTTCTGTCCAAAGTCATGAAGTTAGCTACCTTCCAAGGAATTTAGGGAGGGAGAAAACAGGCATATACTTTTGAAATGAGACAGGCTGGGACCTGGAACCTGGCACCCTTTGCTACAGTGCGTGCAACTGGACAAATGTCTCTTGGAGAAACAGAATACAAAAAAACTATATAGGACTAAAAATAACTGCTTGCATGTGCAGTTGGGGCAAATTATGAACAACAAGATACAAAAAGACCAAAAACCCAACTGCCACTTCTGAGGTGTCGAGGGCAAAATCAGGGTACTGCATATAATCCCTGCACACAGCACCACCAAGGAGGTGGGCCGTCCACCTAAGCCACCCTTCCAGCCTGACCCTCACCCCATTTAGGGATCAGCTCACACTCCTACGCACACAAGAGAGAGCAAGGGCATCTGTTACTTGTTTTCGCTCCCTTGTGCTGCAGCATGAGTCCCAATAAAGCCTTGCCTGAATTTCTCATCTGGCCTCATAGCAATTTCTATCGATTAAGGAGTCCAAGAACCTTGGTCAGGAACAGAAAGGTTATGAAATCAGCAATAGAAGTTTTCAAATAATTTTCCTCAGCAAAAGGTCTTGCTAGATGGATTTGGGGGCCTGAAAAAGAGTCTAAAGTAAGATTGCATTTTCCTTATATACTATATTTTCTATTGTTCCTCTTGCCCAAGAAGAAAAAGATGGCCCACAGTAGAGCTCATTTTAATAAGAAATATATATTAATTACTCTATAAAACTTGAAGTTGTTTTAGGATTTGTGGATATTGTTTCAATAACATTGTTAAAAAACAACCATTTGAAAATTGATAATTTAAAATTGCCTCGATTGACATAAATGAGTCAAAAGGAAATGTGGCTAAGCTTCTTCAGGTGTGTTAAAATTCCACTTGCTGTCTTCCTCCTAATAGAAGGTTTTCTTTCTTTTTAAAAGTATTTCAGACATCTCTTCCTGAGCAAATGCAAAGGTTTTTGTGATTTATTGATAGAAGTAAATTTTCCATGGAGTCCTGTACCCTTTTAGCAGTTACTGTATTTGGATGCTAGGACTGCACATGAATTGGGGGCAAATTTGCTGCTATTATGATTGGGTCCCTTTTAGAGACAGCTGGAAAAAAATGTTTCCTTTTTAGAGCATCATTTCACATTGATTCTAGTTCTTAGAATATTTGCCATACCCTACTTTATTCACAGAACTCAGGACAGGGAGACAATAAATTGTATGACAGAGAAAAGCAGATTGCTTGAAGCCATGAGTTGAGGCTACTTTAGTGACAGAAGAATGAGTCACTTTCCTGGTCAGCTTTCTTAAGGCATTTGCTTGGGGGAATTTCTCACATGTTCTTCCAGAAAGAGTAGTGGAAGTATCCACTCTTGATTATTGGCACATGTATAGTTGTTGGCATTAGACCTTCACATGGATGTCAGGTCTTTTAGTTGGGAGAACCTGAAAAGGTGATTATACTTCTTTCAGACTCAGTTTGATTATCTGTAAAACTAAAATAATTACAGCCTTCCATGTTTTTGTGAGGATTACTTGACTGTAATATATGTAAACAGTTAACATGGCAATTATTAATGATGAAATTAAGTAGGAAGTTGAATTGCATGCCTGGGAGCCAGCTCCTTATATGAGACAGAATTGCAAATTCTGCCCCTGTGTCCTGTTTCCCAGTGTATGGAGTCTCAAACAGCCGTGCTCCTAGCCCTTCTTTCTGATCCTGGAGAGGGAACTGCAGTTCCAGAGTCTCTTCGGAGCTCCCTGTTGGGATATA